CTTCTATCAACTTCTTTACCTATTGTAATTTAGATTTAATTGATTGAACAATCATTGGTTGAATAGCCGGGTGATAATATTTGTTTAGGTAATGATTTACATTAAATTAATTATGAATTATAGAACCGCTAGTTACCCGATTACTTTTCTGATTTCGACGGGAAAGGGCGCGTGTCTAAAGTCACGGAAGGCTATTCTTCAACATCCAAACCTTAGTTTGGATCCTACATCAACTTCGTACATGTGTATGTTGATGACTGCCTAATAGCAAGTCCGGACAGAAAACCGCATCTTCAGCATCTGGATCTTGTTTTCGACCGACTACAAAAACATGGCATTACTGTAAACGTTCAGAAATGCCAATTCGGAACCGACTCGTTAGACTTCCTAGGACACATTATTGATGGGCAAGGCATCCGACCTCTCAAAACCGAAGTGACGGCCATTCTGGATTACGCAGAACCGACCATCATCAAGCAATTACGCACGTTTTTATAGACAGTTCATACCGAAATGCTAGTCACTTATGAAACCGCTAACCGACCAAATTCGTGGAAATGCGAAATCCATCAATCTAGACGACATCGAGCGAAAAGCATTCTCCACAATTAAGGAACTTAACGCTTAAGCACCGATACTTGAACATCAGGACACTGAAGCACCCATTAGTAACTCAGTAGATGCATACGACTCAGCAATCGCTGAATTCATACATCAATGTATTAACTACTCCCGGTAACCTTTGGCATCTTCAATATTTCCACCGATGAAGGCAGTCGTTTGGCAAAGTTGGATCACGTTTTTCAGAGGACACCAAAATTTTCCCCATTGCATCTAGAACTATGGGTATCGTAAATCGAACACAGCGACTGAATGAAGTTTCACGCTCTACTGAATAAGAGTCAAGTATGTAAGTTTTGTTCTTGCAAGTAGGTCTGTGAAAATGATGAGAGATGTAAATTTAGTATATAAATCTCTCTGGACATATTGTTAGTTACGAGTAATACAAGGATAAGAACTGTCACCTTCGCACCACCACTAGAAAAGAAAACGTTCGTATCATCAGAAAAAATAAACAACTCTCCGCTTTGATACGCAGTAAATATATATCTCATATTTAGCAAATAATACCACAGATATTATTGACTTCTTTCAAGCCGACGCCTTAAAAGAAACGGGACGAAATTCATCGTATGACATGGTTGACTAGTTTAATAACAACCGATATTATGAAGGCGAAGTCTAATTCATATGAGAGAAGATAATCAACCATTGTAAGCTCTTGTGAACCACTATTAACACACTTCCGGTCACTAGGTTCTCAATGAGAGGGAAAAACAGAACGGAACACTAATTTTTAACATTTTATCCACCAGAAGGTAGCGTGGTTTCATAAAAAGGAAAGGAAATCAGTTAAAGAAAAATTTCGCAGTATTAACCCCAAAGAACCGAATTTCAATGTCCTTGGAAAAACGATGTTACGTGTGGCTTCTCATTGCCTTCGTTGCTCGTTTCCTGATTCTTGGTAATATGAAGTTTAAAATTCCTCTTTCGGATACGTTAGTCTGCTTACTCAAATTCACTTGCCGCTCTAAGGTGCGTTGCAAAGTAAACATTTGCCAAACGCACACTGTAAGGTTACTTATGAACGAAAATCGGAAAGAAAAGAAGCCCATTTTTGCAAAGTCCATCAGTCCTGGTTACATTTGACCTCTAAAACTATCTTTCACGATCACACAAACAACCAAACAAGTGTGTTAAAACGCAGTAGGAATCAAAAGCTTGTGCATTTTAGAGGCTTCGGCAGAACATTTTAGGGCATAACTATGAGTGGCAATTAAACGAACTAAATTCCTGGTTTTATTATGGCATTAATGCTACGGGTTTATTTGCTGAACAATAAAACGTTATGACGATCTTCCGACGTTTGTTGTTATTTCTCAGTTGTCATTATCATCATATCTCTAATTTCTGCATATTTATCAAAATCAAAGCTATCCTGCTTAATTCTCATCCAGATACAATTTTCATATCACCTATACATCTCTGATAATAACGCAAATTCCTTACAGTGCTTGAATTTTCAAACGACTGGGGATGTAATACATCATTGTTTTTCAGTAAGCTACTTGTTATAACTGTGACTGCTGATTTTGGAGCGCAGAGAATTATCGATCGAACCAAAGACGCGTAAATACGTGGGAACAACCTAGAGTTCTGATTGGCCCTGCTTCCTGTCTGGCCCATCCAGTTGAGTCCAGAACGCAAGTCTCAGCCTCTGAGATATGAATCATTATATTTCAAACATACTCTGTTTATATACCAATCAAGCAGACCACAACGTACCATAAAATGGAAAATAACATTTGTACAATATTTGGCCAACAGACAAATGATAAGTGAAATAAGTATTGATCAGTAGGAAAATGACACGTGAAATAAATAATTGACCAATAAGAAATAATACCATCTCAAGCCCGAAGGATAGCGTTAGACTTAACAGAATAATTTTTCTTCGTTGTATCGTGAAGCTGTTTCATATTTCCTTCTCTTGCAGCTTTTTCTGCCGTCGTTGCTAGTTCTCCCACGTATTTCTTCTTGTCGGCTCTAATGCTCCTCTTCACTTGCTTGTTTGCTTCTGTGTATTCAGCTTGTGCTTAGACTTTCTCTGCTCGTGTTCGGTTGTTGTTAATTGCTACCTTCTTGTTCTTCCTTTCTTTGATCTTGTCCAGTGTTTCTATAGAGATCCATTCCTTATGATGGTGTTTCTTTAGGCCCAGAGCCTCTTGACACGTTGAAGTTAATGCTTCTTTGATACCTTTCCAGTTTTCCTCCATAGTAGTTTCTTCTTCCTTCAGTAGATCTTGTAAGGCTTGGAGCCTGTCGTTGAGAGCTATCTTGAATTCACTGAGTCTGTCAATATCTCGAAGGAAGGCCGTATTGAACCTTTGTAGTGCTGTGTGTCCAGTTGCCCAGTTCTTTTTCAGCTTCAGTTTTAAATTGGCTACAACTAGGTGGTGATCTGAACCTATGTCAGCACCTCTCCTGGTTCTCACATCTTCCATTGTCCTTCGGAATTTTTTGTTGATGCAAATATGGTCTATCTGGTTCTCTGTAGTGTGGTCCTCTGAGATCCATGTAGCTTTGTGTATACGTTTGTGTGGAAATATTGTGTCCCCCATGACCAATTTGTAGAATGCACACAAATTTGCAAATCCTTCTCCATTTTCGCTTCTCTCACCCAGTCCATGTCGTCCCATAATATCTTCATATCCAGTGTTGTCTATTCCGACTTTGGCATTTAGATCTCCCATCAGAATAGTTAGGTCCTTCCTTGGGCATTTCTCAATGATTGACTGCAGCCGCTCGTAGAACTGATCTTTAATTTCGTCGTTGCTATCATTGGTGAGTGCATAACATTGGATAATATTCATTAAGATCCCCTCCTTCTTTGTTTTGAATGATGCTTTGATGATTCTGGATCCGTGAGATTCCCATCCTACAAGTGCATTTCGTGCTACTTTGGACTGCATAAGAGCGACTCCCTGAGTGTGTGGAGAATTTTCCTCTTCGTGACCGGAGTATAGCAACATCTCTCCCGTAGCTAGTCTTTTCTGTCCAGCTTGGGTCCAGTGGGTTTCGCTGATTCCCAGTACTGCCAAGTTGTATCTCCTCATTTCCGTTGCTATTCGACTGACACAGTTTAGTGTTTTCCTCACTTTGTGTCCTATCCACTTCCAGCGCTTCCTCCTGATTTCTTCTTCCATTGGAATCTGGTTTGTTCTCTGCCACAGTAAGTTGTTGCTAATAGAGTCCGGCCAACGGATCCGAATTATTTTGCGTAGACAACTGTTAATAAACACCTTTATCTTCTGGATGATGACTTTCGTAGTTCTCCAAGTTTCCGCTCCATAAAGTAGAACTGTCTTGACAATTTGTATTGAAAATTCTGACCTTGGTGTTGGTTGACAGTTGCTTTGAGTTCCAGATGTTCCTCAGTTGTAAATATTCTGCTCTTGCTTTACCGATCCGCGCCTTCACTTTTGCATCAGATCCACCGTGTTCATCAATGATACTGCCCAAATATGTAAAGTCTTTACATCTTCCAAATCGTCTCCGTCAATTGTGATTGGATTGGTGCATTCTGTGTTGTATCGGAGAATCTTGTCTTTCTTTCTGTGTATATTGAGACCTACTGGCGCTGAGGCTGCTACTACACTGTTCGTTTTCTCCTGCATTTGTTGTTGCGTTTGCGATAGGAGGGCCAGATCATCTGCGAAGTCTAGATCATCCAGCTGCATCTTAGATGTCCATCGTATCCCGTTTTTCCCTTCATTTGTTGACGTCTTCATGGTCCAGTCGATCACCAGGAAAAAGATAAAGGGTGAGAAAATTTTTTTGGTTAGCGTTTTTTAGCGAGTTATTTTTCTACGGGATGGGGTCGCTAACTCCATGCCCAACCCTCCTCCTTTCTCCGGGCTTGGGAACTGCAGTAACCCTGGAGCGACTCCAGGCGGAGTTATGGTGCACCGAAGGTGCTCTAAGTTCGTCGACTGGCTTCGTTAGAAAGCATCGTCTGATAGCTTAATTCCTAGACCTTCGAATTTCGATTTGGACTCATCAAACTCCTATAAGATCATACATCTTGTGGTAAAATGTAACGAGCAGTTCATGTTAATAAAATTTCACTGATCACAGTGTTACATGGATGTGGTTAAATAAGACATGACAAAAATATGTAGCCATTCAGTAACTCTTTTTTTCTTCCGTAGTAGTGACCAAACAACGGTAAACCAATGCTAACTCTTACTTGCATGTAATAAGTGAAGGTTCCAGACTGAAGAATTTCAAGTGTACATTTAGAGCACACAACAGTTAAAGGCAAGTTGTTCAGAAAGGGTACTTTAAAGATAGGGAGAATTTAGGATAACTGACAGAATACCTCTGAAACTATCAAGTTTCTAAGATTTAGAAGTCAATTTGTGGATACATTGGACAACATTCAATATTGTGCAGCTGTGTTTTTGTCTGCTGATTGGCGCTCACAGTTAGCGTGTTTGGACATGGTAAGTCGCTTGTTGTCAACAGTTCATCATTTTGTAGTCACACAGGAAATTCTCTGCTCCGCGTCATGGTTCTCTCGGGTTTACACCTAAAAAGCGTTGTCGACGCATCCGAGGGAAATGCAAGGCATTCCCACGGGACAGAAGATCTCTTCCACCTCATCTGACTGCTTTCATGGGATATAAAGCAGGAATGACTCACATTGTTCGTGAAGTTGATCGACCTGGATCCAAGGTTCATAAGCGTGAGGTTGTTGAACCAGTAACTATAATGGAGTGCCCACCTATGGTAATCGTTGGGATGGTTGGGTACGCACCAACTGCCAAGGGTTTAAGGACTTTTAAGACTGTCTGGGCAGAACACCTTACTGAAGAATTCAAACGTCGGTTTTACAAAGATTGGTGCAAGTCTAAGAAAAGAGCTTTCCTTAAATCCTCCAAGAAATGGTTATGTGAAGCAGGCCTTGCACAGATAAAGCGTGATCTGAAAAAAATCAAAAAGTATTGTACGGTTGTTCGAGCGATTGCACACACACAGGTAATCCTAATAAATACTCATTAAACTCTATTAGATGCGCCTGATGAAACATCGTCAGAAGAAGTCACATATCATGGAAATACAAGTAAATGGTGGGACTATTTCACAGAAGGTCGATTGGATTCGCCAGCATTTCGAGAAGCAGATATCTGTTTCAAACGTGTTTTCGCAAGATGAAATGATTGATGTTATAGGTGTCACTAAAGGTAAAGGTTTTAAAGGCGTTACTTCTCGCTGGCACACCAAAAAGCTTCCTCGAAAAACCCACAAAGGTTTGCGTAAAGTAGCTTGTATTGGTGCGTGGCATCCTGCACGTGTAGCAAGATCAGTTGCTAGGGCTGGTCAAAAGGGTTACTTCCACAGAACAGAGTTGAACAAGAAGATCTACAGAATTGGAATGGGTAAGTTTCAAATATTTTATATTTTCTGGTAGGTTTACAAGCTCAACTAGAGGTTGCGAAGGCAGAAGCCTCTAAGGATGATAAGGATAAAAATGCAGTACCTAAACCTAAAGGCAATGCGTCCACAGAGTTCGACTTAACGGCTAAAAACATCACCCCTATGGGTGGTTTCCCACACTACGGTGAAGTCAGGAACGATTACGTCATGATCAAGGGTTGCTGTATGGGACCCAGGAAGCGTGTCATAACACTTAGGAAAACATTGATTCCTCAAGTTAAGACACGATCAAAGGAGAAGATTGTCCTGAAATTTATCGACACATCATCCAAGTTTGGTCATGGTCGGTTCCAGACTCGTGCGGAAAAACAGGCTACTATGGTGAGTCTTTCGAAATATTCGTGTATAAACTTTGTAATTTCAGGGTCCTTTGAAAAAGTGTCTAGGACGCGCGAAGGTCGTCGCATAAATGTGATTACTTACAATAAAATTATGGTAGAAATCGTTTCTTCTTATTACGCTGTATCAACAAATTGGGTCCATTTTTTATCTAAACTCCGTAAACTGGCGATTTGTATGACGGACAGTGCTGTGTTGTCGTCGCAAGTTAATTATGTGCGTAACTTACCTACTTTACCGATATACGATGGCCGGTATTTTGAATAAAAAATGCTTATTATTCATTATGTTATAATCCGTCCGATATTCATTTACTATCGATCAGTGAGTTAAGTCTTTCAAAGAGAAAATGTTTTTTGAAATGAAAATTTCGAGTCTTTTCTACAGTCTTGAAAGTGTCTTTAACTTAAGTGTTATTACGATTATTACTAACACAAGAAATAAGCCGAGAAATGCTAACATCTCTTTCACATCTGAGACGCCAATGCTTATGTAGTTCCGTGTCGAGCTTGACACAGTATTCCTATAACGCTTGGTTAATATATACGTAGTGCGGTGGTTGATCATCATAGATTTATTGTGAAAATGTTTTTTGCTTGTACACGGTACAGGTTTCTTTAAAGCATTCATGTTTAGAACCGTAGCTGGTGTTCGCTATGCCTCCATTTATTGATTAGTCACTTCGTGTTTATACTCAAGCGAGTTGTATGTTGAAGTACTAAGCCTAGTTGGGTTAATACACTCTGGCGAAAAGAGGTTTAAGAATAAGGTAATTGTATGCTGCTTACGTGATGGTCTCACTACTTGTCTCATTCTGTGTAGGAACCCCGGCTGCTACCACTATCCGTATAATTTCATCGTGAATAATTCAGTCAGAAACGTATGACGTTAAGCCTAACATTCAATATTTCGATGATATGAAAGTAGTAATCTATGACTAAGTAGGTGAGTGGCAAAAATACCGTGGAAGGTAGGGTAATGGGAGCTGCAAAATATTAAAAAAGACACCAGTCGAAGTTATGTTATGGTATACTCAATCAAGATAGGTATATGATAAGTCCTAGTTCTCATAATATTATCGTAACGTGATAACTAATTAACGGCAATTGTTCTCTTAGAAGCCGACTGCGATGGGGCTTGTGATCTGGACCTCGATAAAGTTATCTTCCGCTCTTCCTGCATGGATGTCTTCATTTGGTAATGTTGAAGATAATAAGGTAGAAGTGTGTCGTTATTCTTTGAGGATTCGGTAAGGTCTGCTTTTTAGTTCTCTAAAAACTGGGTTGGTGTGCTTTTTATCGTTATCTACTAATGCTTTCGCTCGAGTCTCACTAGATTATGAGTGACTGTCCGTGATTGAGTACTAGTTCATATGTTTTGGTTGTTCATTTGGAAATTGGAGATTTTGAGTAACATGGCTTGAAAGCCATCGCACTGGTGCAGTTACATGCATCCTCTATCTTCAAATCATGAATAAGCATCATTTGCGTATTTCTACCCTTCGACTGCATTTGTTTCTTTGCATCTGTCTAATGCTTTGATACTCACTGCTTTCGATTTTATATACTATACTTGTTATTCTGTTGACTGCCTCGTATCATAGTGATTTGAAATGTGATACATTGGACCGAACTTGTCTCGTTGCAAGTCCTACGTTAGTATTGACGTGGGTATGTTTGTTGTCCAACCTCAGAAATATTCACATTATAAACCAGTCTCTCACGGAGTTCTTGTCTGATAACCCTCAAATTAGAAAGCCTAAATAGTGTTTAAGGTGACAAGAAAGGAAAATGAATAATTCCAGAAGTGTCAACACCGTGATCCTGTCTTTTTTAATGTTCAAATTCTAGATGAATATAGATTTTCTTTGAAGTCTTGTCGAGTTTACTTGATATGAACTTTCGACACCACTTAAACGTCTTTATCATCAGAGTGATGGATTGAGGATAAGTATTTGAAAAAAAATCATGGTACTATAAACTATGTTGTATCAGTGCCTTTGCAACGTTGTGGTTACATTTTTACTACTAAATTTAGTGAAGAGTATATTTAACAAACAATATTTGCGTGAATGTTAACAGTCATACAACCCCATCAAAATTAGTAATTTGAATTGTTAAACTATTTAAGGACTTATAATATAGGTAGTACCATGTAGCTGAAGAAAATAACATTAAATCTAAAAAAATAGATAATAAAAACCTTATGATTTTCAAGAAAATAAAAACATTAGAACTTCAAATATATTTTCAATTTAAATACGGTTGTCCTACATAACTCAACCAGTTATTTGTTCCAAAAAATCCAGTCATTTATCTTGTTGCAATAATTAGCCCGTAGTTGTTGCTAACTTAATTAATTCGGGGATTGGTCGGCAATGATAATTATTGTAAGAATTTGTAAGCTGAAAAATGCAGGCGTAAAATGTACCTAACTTTATTTATATTAAGATTTTTTATTTACATCGAAAAAGTTGAGCATTGTAGATTTTTTATAGATTAATCCCACCAAAATATAAGTGCTTTCAAACGGTTGGTCGATAGTCATATCTGTAGCAATTTCTAAAAACGTCATCGTAAGCGATAGTAAAACAGACAGTGTCATGAGATCCTACAATTTGGTTGAAGGTCACTTGAGTCTCATGTGTAGTGTTTTCGGGTACAATGTGTGTATTATACATTGACATTTCCGTTCAAGACGTTTCATGAAATTACAAGTCAAGTTTTGATTTTATCTTATGAAGATTAATAATTAGGTCTAACTATCCTTGAAGCGGAAGGAGCCCATGCACATCAAACTCTTCCACTTTCTAGAGACTGATTTATCAGTTACTAGCAATGGCGAGATGTTGGTCGTTAGGAAGCTCCAATATTATTCAGTACATAAGACAGGGATGAAAGTGACACCAATGGTCCACTGACTGAGATGTATGGGACATTTTCCAGTGACTACGACGTTTTACACTTATGATCTATTTTTTATCAGTATAAAATAAAGGAAAATGAATTGTGTGCACAACCAAACGGTACAGAGAAAAGAAACATACTCAAAAGATAAATGTTTGAATGTTCTCGAAACATTCTACTTTCAAGTTGTCTCACATGCGACAAAATTGTGACAATCACTATTTCGACGAAAGTTTGGAAATCAATAAACAATGAACAAATCAAAAGGGACTATGATAAGTGGGGTTCGTAGCATTAACCATAATACACGAATGTCGAAAATGTTCAAAATCTGAGCCGAAAGCTTCATAGATAATTTAGTCAACCAGCTAAATTCTATCCCTTCGGTTAATCATTAGTAACTAAAGTTATATGGCGTCTAATTTTTCAATATCTGCACTATATTTCAACAACGGAATCTATCGATGTTCATGCAACTAATATGCGATATACAACCTATTTCATGTTCGTCTACGGATATAACAGGCGGTGGTAGGGGTCAAATATACATCCAAACGATGTAAGCGTCTTTTTAGCCAATCGGACTACACACAAAGTAATCACATAGCTTTTTATGCTAAGAATTACGATCAGGGTATCGATATTATTACCTAGGAGTTAAAGCTGATGTTAGTTAGTGATTTAAACCCCAACCCTAACTACTAATCCTTAATATTAAATTGTAACCCTAACAGGATATTTGCGCCATGAACATAAAGAAGGCTGTGCACTTTACGCTGACCAAGTTACCTATATATTCCATAACAATATGCTGTTATATAAGTTGACTCTACTATCTATTCATTTCCCCTGTTAATTCAAGTGAACATGGATAATAAATGTTGATTCTGATATTTCTTATCGGATCATTACGAGGGTCGGTATAACTTTCCCAGAGTAATATGGTTATAAGGTTTACCTTTATATTAACAATATACTATATATATATATAATGTATGTAAAATACAATATATACACACATATGCTTATCTGCGTATATAATCATATACTATTGCATTCGTTCGCTGCAGTCTGTTTTTGTTCGTCCACAAAGAACCCCTTTTTTGTCGCATTCATCTTACACAGGACTACAATGAATCAATTATGGTGCCACTCTGTGTATTAGTACACATCAAATTAAGACTACTATATGGCTTATAAACTCAGTGACAAATGGTTGTTAACTTATAATGCTATTAACGGCCACTACAATCACAGAAATCGTATTAAAATTCGAGAATTTCTTTCTGAAACTGGTACACTTAGTGAAAATAGTAGTCACGTTACTGTGGTGATTCTAAGTCTTCTGTGGTTGTTCAAGGGTAGATTGGCTCGTGATTTCAATATAATACAAAAACCGCAACCCATTCTGTCATTTCGTTTTGTTTACTCACGCCCAGTTTTGGAGACGAATTGATTTTTCTATTTGCTAATCACTCATCGGGTACAGGTTCGTTTGATTGGTTCCAAGCGGAAGCTCGTGATAGCTAGCGTAATGACTTGATTATCGAATTCATTATAGGAGCAATGGTATTCGAACTTGTAGCCCATTAATTAAGTGTCGCTGATCATTCATCAAGAGATTTATCTTTTGAGGTTTTGATAATAAGTTGAATTATGAGTCATAGTTTTTTGGAAGTTGGAGGTGATTGTTGTTTACATGAATTAAATAAATAGTAAGAAGTTGACTGCCCTAGTTGGTTTGGAATAGTTTCATGAACTAATTGGTGGACGATAAAGATGATCTTTGTTATTAATCCGATAAAACCGCTGTACGAATAAATTAAGACATATGATACTGTTATGTGATTTAAAATTATTACCAAAATATTAAAATCTTTTAGTTGACTTATCTCCACATATCCCTGAGATAGGTTGCTACTACATTCTGGAAAAGATTTGAATTTATCCAGTAAATGTTGTAGACCAAACTTTCGGTAAATCAGTGCATACTCTCATCGCTGAGATTTTAAGTATGTATCAAGTATATGATATTAAGGCTGTTTGATAAACATCCGTTTGGATTGCGATCCATGATATGGCTCCTCATTGATGCTTATAATTAAACTATCTATAATCGTATTCTAAGTGCCCAAACATAAATGTTAAAACTAAACTTTTTTAAGTATTTAAACGGATGAATGGTCCAATTGAAATATTCTAAGTTAGTGCATTTTTATTCCTTAATCATCTGTAATTTAAAGAATTGGATTTAAGTGTTACTGTATGTTTCACCAATTTGTTGGATTTTCTGTTTTCCCGTTGAGGTGTAGGTCTGATAGTGTACATTAAAGGTTTAACTGTATCAAATAAATCTGATAAAAACTACTTTGGCTGAAGCTAACAAATGGAAACCATTTCAAAGTTGTTAATGTCAGGCTCATCCAAAACCCACTCTCATAAAGCCTAGTAGGATGGCTCTTAACTACGTAAGATT